TTTTTATTTGTTTAATCTCCCGAACAGTTTTTTAAGGATTCTTTTTCACCTCCGTCAAACGTTTGTCTGTCGACAGGAGGCGATGCCGTTCGCTGTGGTGGGCAGCGATAAAGAATATCAAGTGAATGGAAAACGGGTGCTGGGAAGAAAGACAGCATGGGGAATTGTTGAAGGTACATATATATATTACAGGATTTACAATTAAAATGACATCTGTAAGGCAACTTAAATATCACACAAAATATGGCATTTCAGTTAATTTTTGTGTTCTTTTTGTAGTTGAAAACCCAAACCACTGCGAATTTGCTCAACTGAGAGACTTCTTAATCAGGTAAGTTTTTTTTTTTGGCTTTGTGTAAAACAGAAAGATGGTGGTATGAAGGTCCTTTGCAGTACTTCACATTGTACTTTAAGTATTTAAGTTTTTGTTCCCATAAGGGGGCCTGGTTCAATCAGACTAGAAAAATACTTTGTGATTAAGACAACCTGGTGAAAAGTAAGGCATGAGGCCTGTTGTAACACCAGCCAAAGTTCTCCATGGGGTTTGTTTTTTACTGTGCAGATTTCATCACTGCTGGCTGTATTTACAGAGCTTTGTATTGTTTATTTAAAACATTTACACAGCCATCTTAAACCTTTTTATTTAAACAAATTGAACCCAAATGTTTGATTTCCTCACTAATGAGACATAACTTTTTTTTTTTAAATATGTAACTGCTGTAGTTAACTTACACCTTAAGTTAAAATAAACATTTTCTGCACGGTGCAAAGGTTTTCGGCAAGTGTATCAATTCTCTTATTGCTCTTGTTTACCGCCTTTTCTTTTCTGTTTAAAGTAGAATACCAAAAGTTCATTCTTAAAAACAATAAATGTTCTCCAGACATCCATGGTCATCTAATACATATCCACATATTTTATACATTTCACTAACACTAAACAATCTTGACTAATTGTGGCACCATTTTTTAAATAAAGACATACATTAAAATTAACCAATTATATGTCTCATTATATAAAACTAGGCATTTTACCAGTTATATTTTTTGCAATTGTGATGCATCTTGTTTCTGTGTCTTTTGTCCTTCTCTCTAAGGTCTCACCTCCAGGACTTGAAGGAGGTTACTCATAACATTCATTATGAAACTTACCGTGCCAAGAGACTGAATGAGAATGGCGGTCTACACCCAATATCCTCTAATGGCACCCAAGAAAGCAACCTGTAGTCAGTCGCTCAGGGGACATATTCAGTAGAGACAACACAGCTCAGTGACATGCAAACATACATAATTAAATTATTGCTTCAAAAGAAATGGGCATAGATTTGATTTTATTTACTTTAATCTAACTCCATTCCAAATTTAACCATAATTTAGTAAAAATCATCTAAAAACATACACATATCAGAGTGATCTTCCCAAATATTGAGACTAAGATTTCGTGCCATTGTCGACTTCGAACAACTTGTCCTTAATCAGGTAGCATGAGCTTAAAAGGTGCCACGTTATCATGTGTATATGAGAGGTGTTATTTTAAATGACGTTGTTGTGTAGCCCATGATGACTGAATGTCTTTAAATGAAACTATTTGATTTGATTTTTTAATTCTCTGTAGTGAAAATGTGTGTGTCAGTTGTGCCGGTAAAGTTGTGCTGAAAAGTAATTTTTATGGTTTATTTGAACAAATATGCTGTTGCCTCCTTCAGCACTCTTACTTAGAAAGAAAACTTGTAAAGAAGAGGTATTATTTTTATTGTTATTTTGTAACGGAAAACAATGCCAAATTCAAAACATGCCATATCAACGACCACTCAACGTAGTGTTTTTGTTTGGTGTCACGTGCTCAAGTATTTTTGAACCACACGGACAACTGACTCTGAGAATGACGGACGTGTTTTCGTTTAAATTATGCCGGTGAATGTGCAGTCTTTGTAACCACTTGGTGGCAGCACTCTTCCATTACACAGCGATGGCTCAATTGAGGCACTGAAGGGCAGAACCTGACTAAGTCCTGTATGTGGAGCCAGTGCATTCATGTTTATAGGATCTTACAAAATCTTCTTCTACGAATGTTTTATTGCTAACGTGTCTCTTCAATGCATTGTTTACATAAAGCCTGTAGCATGCACTCAGATCAGTCCAAAACACTGAGATTCTTACATGTTTATTCAGTGGTATTGAAAAACTTTACATTGATGTTTTGTCATATGTTGTCTGCACAATAGCAGGGAGCAGAACATAGACAGAAAAAATACAATCATCTCAGTATCATATTTACCCTGATGGTATGTTTGTGGTTTTGACATCATACCATGTCTGTATATTAATTTTGGTGCAGTCTCGTAATAACATTTTTTCATGTGTATGCTTGTAGCCACTTACTGCAAATCTGATCACGTTACTGTTACTTTAATCAATAACTAACAATAATACCTGACTGTGTGGCATGAAGATGTGATGAAGTGACGTCATTTGTGTAGCTACGCAACACATCTTTTTGTCTGTGCTTATGCATTAAATGACAACATTTCTTTGTTTTTGTTTGATGCATTCAGACATTTCTACATTTGTCTTTATATGTTGTCTTACTTTAATTTATTATAATAAGTACAAATACATGTCCATTCTTTCAAAGAATAAAATAGTATCCAAAAGCTAAAACTATTTGTGTTGTGTGTGAATTAAATGCTAAACTGAAGATTTAGTAGTTTTTATCATCTGGAAATGTCTTCAAACTGTGGTTATAATAGCCCCGCCTCCATTTTATGTAGCCCCGCCTATGCTGCTACACTCACCTTTTAGGCCTCTTTTATCAACAACAGCTGCTCATTAAGCACAGCACCAAATGAACAGCCGCTATATTATGTCAGCACTTGAGGAACTACAACTAGATTGTCACTAATAACATTATAAGGAAGGAAGGGGAGGAAGCCACTGAGGGTTTGGTCCCAACGGAGCTGTGATAACAGAACTTATTGATTGTGTCCAGAAAAACGTATAGCCATAGGTCTGTGGCAAGTTTCTTTTGAAAGGTTAGAAGTGTTTTACCTTCAAACATGTCATGTCTGTAATTTAGAAATACAGTGGAACCCCGAGATATGAGCACCTCGACATACGAGTATTTTGAGATACAAGCCAGCCATTAAGCAAATTTTTGCCTCTAGTGTCTACGTACGAGCCAACTCTCTTCCCTCCCTTCCTCCCTCCTCCGCACATGCCGCTATTACTGTATCTGTCTCGAAGATAAGAACTCATAATTAAAACCACATTTATTTTATATCACACAAATCCTTATATATTATAATTTTGTGTGCACATGTGTATGTCTCTATAGCCATTTAAAACATGTTTTTTCCCGGAACGGATTACGATTTATTTATTTTTTGTTATTTTTTATTGGAGAACGTGATTCAAGATATGAGCACCTTGAGTTACGAGCTTGGTCCTGGAATGGATTATACTTGTATCTCAAAATTCCACTGTATATCTTGAAGTGCTGCCAAAACATGGCTTTTTAAACCTATTTTAATGCTATTTAAAGTAAAAAATATGTTATTGAAATATGGGCAAATTATCTGAGCAACAGTAAAGCCCAAATATCTCTTTTCTTGGCCCTTCCCCAAAACAACACATGAAGGATAGCTATTGAGGAGGCTTGGCATATTTAATTCCTAATTTTTGTTTGCTCATCGAGTCATATCTTCATATCTGTTGCCTAGGTACCATTGTGACAGACCTGTAAAGTTACGACTCTGTAACACGTAGTTGAGCGATGCTCCAAGTCATGGACTGACACATTTTACTGAATTCCTGTATTAGCAAGTGTGACAAAGTCCAAAGTCCTATACACCCATTGCTCTGACGCCGATCTTTCTCCAGAGTAATGGACGTATAGGACTTTAGAGATAGATAAAGTAGGAGTAGACTAGGAGTAGTTGCTCTTCCCTGACTCTGAGTGAACATCCCACCTGTTTCCAGCAGAGGTCTATGGTCATAAAATGATTATGTGCTGATTCCTATTCCTGTACTAAACACTAGGACAAACCACACCAGTCAGAGTTGAGAGCCTTGCAGAGTCACAGATAACAGAGATGGTTTCTTAAATTACTAATGAGATCCTCTCTCCCCTCTTGGCTGGGGCAGCCCTGGCGAAGTCCAAACTATCCCTACAAACAAGTCTTCCTCAAGTCTCTGTGACTACAGGGACCCAACAGCCTGTGACAGTGGGGAATCCACACCATTCTCCAGAGAAATCTTCAATCTGACTGTAGGAGTACTTTGACCCATGACATATATCCAGACCTGGGGTGTGTACCTGCAAGTGTAAATCTGCCTTTACCCTTGGACCTTGTTCAGTCAGTAAAGAAGAGCCAGAGTTCGACCCGAGATTGGGATTGCACTTTGGGATCCCAAGGTCTAAGACTATCAACTTAAATTCAGTGGCTGATGTCTGTCTTTTGACATGACCCGTTTTGAAGACTTGGTGAGGAAGGGTTACCGGAATCCAGTCAGCTAATTTTAGCTTACCACAGTGTACAGCCTTTGTTTTAAAACCTTTTTAAAAGGCACTGTAGCTTCTTTAGTGTAGGATAGACTTGGGCATGTACCTGGTTTTCTTTCTCCAAATTTTGTGGATATTTTCAGTCATCTAGGTCAAAATAACAATCTTAAAAGCAATTTTAAAAGTAGGCAACTGGACTCACCTCAAGTAAATTGAAGACGCCTCTCATCCAAGAGGCTTCATCAGTTCTACTGTCCTGGTGGAGAGTTTCTAGGTATTTATCTATCCACCCGAAAAGGGGGTGTGGTGTCGAAAAAAATGTCCAAGAGCCTGAAACAATATGACCTTTAAATGGTCATGTGAGTCGTTGGCCCCATAGGGATCGTTCCCTCTCCCTGTCCTCTGGGTGGGGGTCATTAGTGTTACCTGAATGGAGGTGTGAGTTATGCCTGTACTTCCTGGGGAGAGAACTAAGGACGGCATTGTATGTTGGTGACAATTGGTGTCTGAGGCCCCCTCCTGTGTTCAAAGGTGATCTTTACAGTTTTATCTGGATGGCTTCCTTCACTCCTCTCTCAGATCATTTGTCCTCTCTGGCTAGAATGTGCACCTTTTGATCATCAAAAAAGTGGCCACTTCTCCGGTAGTCCTAGAATGTGCACCTTTTGATCATCAAAGAACTGGCCACTTCTCCGGTAGCCGTAAAAGTAGCCGCATCATTGTTTAAGCCTCAGGGTTCAAAGTGTGTGAAAAAAAAATAGCGGCTTATAGTCCAGAAACTACAGTATTTAGATTTAAAAAAAAACAAACTAATAAATCCAGAAACAGCATGCCAAAAAAAAAAAACAGAACAGAAACAGAAAGAAAGAATGGAAATACAACAACAAACACTGACACCAGAACTAACTTTTTTGCTGTTGCGTCACTGACTGAGGAAGAAAGGACATAGTAAATATAATTAACATTATATTTGAATGTACATCCAGAAAAGACAGTCATAAAAAATAGGCTATCATAAGCACAAGGGAAGTCACAAGGGACCAGAACCAATGCATTATCACTTATGATAGGATCATTGTGACCGGCCCCCTGCTGGCAGCTTTGGGAAACACAAGTTTTAAACACGAGTTAACAAAATGGCTGACATGTTGTTTGTAAGAGCTGAAATACAGTATGTAAAAATAAAAACTATGTATAAAAAAAACACAAATCCTGATAGACAACACTATACGTGGCTCAATTAGCAAACATTTTCTGGTAGCTTTCTCTTTCACTTGTTATTTCCCCTATCTTTGTGTTTCAGCCATTTGTAAAGACAAATCACTCTTTTTTCATGGGCTCTCTTCATTTAAGAATTTTGGCAAATATTTGGATACATTTTGTATGCCGGCTAGTGTTCAATAACTTGGACCTATGAATGTGAGGATTGTCGGTTCGAATTCTAGCCCCATCAGCATTATGTTGTGTTAAGCTCACAAAAAACTCCCCCACTTCAGAAGTGGTGGGCTGCACCACTGTTCCTGTTTTACAAATGGGTTATGCAAAGGACATATTGTGTTGCGTAAGGCAGATTTATGAATAGCAGTACAGAACTGGTTCACAAATAAAGACAAATGATGGATAACCTCTGGTTGCATTCTGTTTAATTTGGTTTACCATTTTTTTCAAGAACATAAATCTTTGTGGCTCACCTGAGAATGGTCATTATTTGTGGTGGACATTTGCAAATGTAAACTCAGTGTGAACAGCAGGGGGCGCTAAATGTTCAGATTCCCTTAGTTGTTCTATTTGACATATGTTACAGGGCTGAGGTAACTATTTACAGGCTGTCATTGCAGTCTAAGGCTACAGAACACAGGAAGTGGTCTGTAATTTAAATGTGATTCCATATAGAAACACACCTTCTGATGTCTTTCATCGAATAGGCGTCTGTTGTAAATTGTGATTGAACAATGCCAAAGTAAACCATCATCAAAGCTTGTGAAAAGTGTGGTTTATTGATCATAGACCGCACAGCTAAAGACAGAGATCACAACCTAAAAAAAGACAATGCTAAACCCTGTGAACTCAGAAATACCCCTGTCCGTGGCTCAGTTTGCAGATAATTTTCTGGCTGTTGTTCAACTGACTCCTCCCTCTCTCTGTAGTCCCTCCCTGTATGGTTGGGTTTCTCCCTGTGGTAGAGGACAAAATACTCTCCCCTCCCCCATCTGTGTTTGTTTAAACCCTACAGTTATTTAGCCTTTTTGACCATTTTTTAAAAATAAATATTTTAGCTAAACGTTACTAGAAAAGAACTGATAGCTGACACAATAGGTATGATAATATTCCCAGGTTTAGTTTTTTAAGCGACTCTATTGCAATGTTTGCTACAAGAGCGCTTCGTTGTAACTTCCCATATAGCCAGATAGAATCAAATATATGGCTGTGCATCTAAACTGGACTGATTTCATGGTCTAAGTGAGAAAACGCAATTTAGGTATTCATTTTTGGCTGCTCTGCATAGCTTGTGTGCATGTGTGTAAGAAGAGAGATATGCAGAGAGAGCTACTCTGTCCACCATGAGTGCTGATCATATAGATTTGGATCAAACACAAACAAAAACGTGTAATTATATAAGCTGTGGCAACTGAAAACACAAGGGCAGCACAGAAAATGAAGAACAATAACTACCTAACAGGACTATCCGCTAGTGGCAGTTTTAGGAACTACACGTTTTAAACACGTGAGTTAACAAAATGGCTGACATGTGGTTTTGTTTGTCAGTGAACGACTAAAAGCAAGTCACAGGAAACATGGCCACTATGTTCCTATGGCCATGTTTCATTAGGGGTGTAGTAAGTAGTATTTTGGGTCATTTGAAAAACAAACATCTCCTGTATCATTAAAAATAGGACAGTTAAGATCAGATGCAAATCCCACAAAACACAAAAGGTAATTTTGTCACTTCACAGACATTTTTTGGTGATTGTTCCTGCGACTCCGCCCTGTACAAAGTTTCTTCCCGTTCTCAAGTTTCTCTCTGTGTTGTGATTGTTTTTTAATTCTTCATTTTTTAAACAAATTTTCAATTATTGCTTTTGTTTGCTGTGACTTAATATTCCAGAAAACCACAAAACAAATAATAAAACACATTCAAGGTTTTTGTTGAATTGTTCATATATATAATGCAATAGTAACACAGAGAGCAGAGCTACTCTTCCAACTCTCAGTTTTAGTCTAGATTTCAAGATTTTACACTTTAATCAAAATACACGTTAGAATCAGCTGTGATGCAACAGGACAGGGTGAGAACAAAGGTTTCAGCGTGTCTTATTTGTAGACGAGACCAAACAAATGATCATTCGTGCGCAGAGGCCCCTGCTGGTTGTTTTGGGAACTACAGTCTTTATATCTAACAACAAAATGGCTGACGTACAGATTTTTCAGACTACAAAGGCAACTAAATGTATGTAATGTCTGTTATTCATAAATTCTCATAATTTGTATGTACGTTATTAGAATGTGTTTTATTAAATTATTATACCGATTTATTCATACGAATTTCAATTACCTTCCAGACAAAAAAAAGTTTGGCATTCTATTAATAATATAGATCATAGAAACACGATGAATAAAACAACAAAGATGTTGGGTTGCTGGTCACAGAAAGTACAACTACAACCTCATCCACAGATTAGTGTCTGAGGTAGCTTATTTTCTTGTTCTGGTTAGCTCAGTTTGCAGAAAAAATCTGGTGCATGTTCTTTGAACTTGTCCCTACATCAGATTATGTGATATTGTTGTGTGTTAAGTGAGTCCTGCAGTATGATTTGCACTGCAGACAAGGTCTAAGTCAGCGGGGGAAAAAAAGAGAAACAGGAATGAATATCCCTCACTTGTGGATCTTGTTTAGTGAACGTGTAAACTACAGGGATATCAACTAAAATTACTCAAGATACAACTGGCACATATGCTCAGGGATTTTTGTATATTGCACAAACATTATCAGAATATTAATGCTTTTCATTCAAGCATTACAACCATATACCACCTAGTGGTCGTATCGAGAACTACAACTTTCTAACACAAGTGAGTAAACAAAATGGCCGATATGTAGAGCATTGTGTAATTTGTCAGAAAGCAGCAAACTTACTAATGGAACATTGTTATTAACCTTGAGATGTCTGTTTTATTGTTCTTTTAAGCCTACAAGCAAAAATATTTTGTTGCTAAGTTTTTATTTATATGTATTTAAAAACTCAAGATGGACATTTTTGTCTGATATTTACCACTGCAAGCATGACAAGCTATACAACTTAAAAATTCAAATGTTAGGTGTGTTGTTATAGACAAGGTAGTCAAAGCACATGAACCAAAAAACAACAACAACAACAACAACAACAACAAAAACCTGATGCTATGTGATGCTAGTCTTTGTAGCATAAATAAGCTTAAAGTTTTCCAACTTTATTGCTGACTGGAGTGCTAAAACCACCAAATAGGCATAAAAAATAATGAATACATATATTTCTGAAATATAACAGAAAGCGGTTCCTTACCTGATTTTTTAAAAACAAATCTGGATAAGAAAACACACTCGACTTGTTTTCTGTTAGACTTGCTCCCCAGACTTTGTCTGACGTTTGCATGTGTGTAAAAGAAGGAGAGGTGGCGCACAGCTCTCAATTCTCACATAATTCGACAGGAGCAAACACATTTTAGATAATTTCGACAGAAGTAAACACATAAAAACATCACAACCATATGCATAATGAGTTTAGTTTATTTAAGGTTGTTATGTATATGGTAATCTATTCTTTGTGTTTTTTTAAACGATGAGAACCCTCCCCCCTCTCGCTACCTCAATCTGTTCAAAAGAATTTATTATTTTGACAGTGTATGATACATAGTTTTAGTATGTAACATAAATAAGTGATAGGTATACGGGTTAGCGTGGCACACAACTCTGGACAAATTTGTGTCACATATTCCATAAATAATGACAAGCTAAATCACTCAGAGATAACCTAAAATGTTGCTGGCCACAGACAGAACAATGCACACTAACAGCCAGAAATTATACACACCAGTGTCTGTGGCTAAGTTAACAGACATTTCGCCAGTTCCATTGACTCCTCCTCCTTCGTGTGGTCCCTCCCTCTATACCGGGTTTTCTGTCTGTGGTGGCGGACAAACACCCCCTCCCTTCCTTGCTAATGCTCTGCTCCTTGTTCCCTCATCCACTGTTGCCTGTGTGCAGTTCCTTTCACTACACTGCAGTTAGGTTACTCCTGGCAGAGACATACTGCTCTAAAACAGCCTTATATGAGTTCTGCCATACGGTCTGAAATAACTCCTCTTCAAGCTGTACATACATACATACCTTGCTGGCTTTTGCTACTGCCGCCAGTGGAGAGAGACTAACACGAACTTAATCAACTATTTCGATCGCGACGACTTGTCTACGCGACTGACTGTGCTCGTCGACCAACCTTCGTCGCCACCGACGGTTGACGTACTTTCACTGTGGATAACGCACAAAAAGGGGGTGGAGTCTATCGACTGAATAGAATGAGGAGAGTAGTCAGTTGACTCCGCGACTGCACAACTGCACTGTTGCTGGAGCTCATCTCATTAGTTCTCACGGTGAGTGCCCAAACCGGCGGAGTGGATGCCGCACTGAAAACACCACCTAACCGTAACGGTCATATAGTCCTGAAGTGACGATCTGCGGACTGTAAGCGAAAACCTTCATCTACACTTGGAGACTGAAAATCGCGGGAACAACTACGCGACGACGAGCACC